TCATGTATTTTATTTTTTAAATTGAAGCTTCAAAAAAAAAAACCCCAAAAAACACAAAAACCCCCAAACCAGTGGGTTTTGGCTGCTTTATCCCCTTACTGGGATTATTTAAATCAAAAGCAGAAATGGGGGGGAGGCTCTTTTTGTGACTCCAGCTGGATGGGAGCCAGCCCTGGCTGCAGGAGCCAGAGGGTGCCCGGGGCTCCTGCAGGTCACTGTCCCAAAATTCCATCAGCACCAGAACACACAGCCGGTGCACCCACATCCTTTTTGGGCTGGTGGAGGTGCCCCAGCCAAAACCCTCCCTCCTGGGATGCTGCTGCCCTCCCGAGCCAGGAGAATGAGTTTGTTCTGTCCACGCAGGCTCCTCGTGGCTCAGCCCCCAAATCCCAGCACAGACGGGGCTGGAGGGGGAGCTGAGGTGACCAAAGGTCCTGGTGGTGACAGGGACAGCAGCCTGGTGGAGCTGGGGCTGGTTTTGTTGCACGAAACCCTCTCCTCCCTCCTGTCTCCAGCTCCCCGGAATCGCTGTAGCCACGGGCAATTTTCTGTGTTCGAGTTTTGCAAAACCATATTAAGAAAAATCTCGCCCTGGCGCTGCTGGCTCTCCTCCAGGCTGGAAATTGCATTCCCCTGCTTGAAATTCCTCCCGGAGTTTCAGATGGAGAATGTACAACTTCACTTTCCATCTTGAGCTGCTGTCACACATTTTAATAACAGGGGCTGGGCTCCACCCCAGCGGTGGCTGCGTGCCAGGATTCTGGAGAGAAGCCCTTGGAGGGGCTGTGGTGAGCCCTGGGATGGCTGTGGTGCTGCTGGAGCTGTGGCTAAGCCCAGCTCAGCCTTTTGGAGAGAGGCTGGGGTTTGTGGCTTGGTTTTCAATCCTTGGTGATGAGTTTTTGGTGTGTCCTTTGCTCCAGGTGATGGGGAAGTGGGTGTGGAGGGGGATCAGCTCTGCTCGTGGGAGATGAGATAAATTTCTCCTCTGATCAGCTCTAGAGAGCTCTGGCAGAGCCCTGATGGTCCCACTTGGGTTTCTCCCTCTTCATCCTGCCTTTCCCCACTGCAGGATCAGAAATTCCCCTGCACCATGACATTGATGATGTTCTTTTCCCCAAAACCCAGCGGATAAACCTCCAAGCTTGGGGAAAGGCCTTTGCTGAGACCCTGGATGGGACAACAGAGGGGTGGTGGCACTGCCAGAGCTCCTGGGGACATCCCTGTCTGGAAAACCCCATGGACAACTCATGGTGGGGACGGCAGAGAGTGACCCTGTGCTCTGGCCTGGTGGGGCTGTGGGGCTTTAGGGACACTCCCAGCGCTGCCTAAACCCCGGTGTGGCTTTGGGGACACTCCCAGCCCGGTGTGGCTTTGGGGACACTCCCAGCTCGGTGTCGCTTTAGGGACACTCCCAGCTCGGTGTGGCTTTAGGGACACTCCCAGCGCTGCTTTGCCAGCCGAGGTCACCGCGCCTGAGGCTGGGACACCCCGCATCCCTTAGGGATGGGGTTTCCTCCGTGCCTCGAGCTGCCTTTTATGGGCTGCTCTTTGAACCCGAGCAGTTGTGCTGTATTTGTCCAACACTCGCAGCAATCAGGGAAACATTCTCCCTAATTGGATTGGGACGGCCGCAGTAATTGGTGTTTGGGAGCAGCCGTTTCCAATCAAGCTGTGCGCGCCTTTAATAAGTTTGTTCGCCTTTATCAGCCTGGCAAACTGCGCCTGTGGAGGTGACCTGCTAAATGATCCCCCGTGTTTCTAAAGCATTTTTTCATCCCCGCTGATCCCCCGAGCCTTTTTCTTTCTTTCTTTGTAATAACAAACTCGGGGAAATCCCAGAAATCCCAGAGCAGCAGCAGCAGCAGCAGCGCTGCGGCTCCTGCCCGCCTGTGATGCTGGGCAGAGGGAGGGGTCTGGGGGAGGGTGACACTTCTGGGGGGACCAGGGGGGTGGCAGAGATGCCACCCTGCTGATTTGGGGATGGGGGACAGGGTGGAGCATGGAGCTCACGCGTGGTGCTGTGCTGATTTTGCTGGGTTTGGCCCCTGGTGGCATTTGGCATTGTCCTGGATGGGGCAGGACCATGCCAGGATTTATGGGAAGAGCTGATCCCACTGCTCTGACCTGGATTTGGCCACATCTCCCTCCCCATGGCCACAGTTCCCCTGCTGGAGCCACCAGCCTGGCCCTGGGGCTTCCCAAGGGCTGCTCATCCCTTCCAGGACCCAAGGAAGGAAAAACCACCAAGGGCTGCTCATCCCTTCCAGGACCCAAGGAAGGAAAAACCACCCTTGTTGCGCCTTGTTGTGTCCCTTGTTGGGGACAATCGCGGCTGGTGAGGCCCTGGCACAGCCACCCCTAGGTGGCCACAGAGGTGTGATGGTGGCCACTGCCAGCCAGGGACACCAAACACAGGGAGAACGTTGCAGAACTCATTTTTTTCAACCGAAATGTCCCGATTTTGCTAAAAACTTGCACGTGAGCTGCTCGCCCTCGGTTGCCTGAGCTGCCTGTCCGGAGCTGAATCCAGGGACCCTCCTGCAGGGCCCCCCCAGCTCGTCCAGACACGGGGCTGGGGTGACCTTGGGCACATCCCAAGCCCTCGGCGCCTGGCCCTGGCCACAAACTCCTGTTTTTAAACCTTTTCTCCAAATTTTGAAGGTGAGAAAGAAATCCTCTGAGTGCACCGCTGGCAGTGCCAAGAGCCGCGGTGGCACCAGCCCTGCCACCGAGGATGAGGAGGGTGAGTCGTCCCCCCCCCTCCTCCTCCAGCCTTCCCGGAGTCTCCCTGGCGGTGTCTGGGCAGAAATTTGTCAGGATGGATCTGCTCTTGCCAAACGTTTCCATTTTGACAAATTGGCATTTTCCAAGAGCAACATTGCCCGTCCCAACCCAAACAAGGAGCTGGAGCCGCTCCTGCCCGGCTCCTGTTCCCAATCGCTTCCAAAATCCCGAGCGGGGCTGGCGAGTGACGCTTTGGATGGAAATGTTCTGGTGGCCCCTCGGTGTCACCGCTGCTGTCCCGCTGTCCCCAGGAGGGATCCGGGGCTGTTCCCTCCCTCTGGAAGCGCCGCTGCGGGACAGGAGGAGCCGCCAGCCACGAGAGGGCACAAAGCCCTGCAGCCAGGCAGCCTCGTCACCGTGTCACCGTGTCACCCTGTCACCGTGTCACCCTGCAGCCAGGCAGCCTCGTCACCGTGTCACTGTGTCACCCTGTCACCGTGTCACCCTGTCAGAGTGTCACCCTGCAGCCAGGCAGCCTCGTCACCGTGTCACCCTGTCACTGTGTCACCCTGTCACTGTGTCACCCTGTCACCCTGCAGCCCGGCAGCCTCGTCACCCTGTCACTGTGTCACCGTGTCACCCTGACAGTGTCATCCTGCAGCCAGGCAGCCTCGTCACCGTGTCACCCTGTCACTGTGTCACCCTGCAGGTCTGTCACTGTGTCACCCTGTCACCATGTCACCCTGCAGCCAGGCACCCGTGTCACCCTGTCACGCTGTCACCATGTCACCCTGCAGCCATGCAGCCTTGTCACCATGTCACCCTGTCAGAGTGTCACCCTGCAGATTTGTCACCCTGCAGCCCTGTCACAGCGTCACCCTGCAGGTTTGTCACCCTGTCACTGTGCCACCCTTCAGCCCTGTCCCTGTGTCACCCTGCAGGTTTGTCACCCTGTCACTGTGTCACCCTGTCAGAATGTCACCCTGTCACCGTGTCACCCTGCAGGTTTGTCATCCCACATCCCTGTCCCCGTGTCACCCCACAGCGCTGTCCCCGTGTCACCCTGCAGATTTGTCACCTCACAGCCATGTCCCTGTGTCCTCCTGCAGGTTTGTCACCGTGTCACCCTGCAGATTTGTCACCCTCCAGGTTTGTCACTCTCCACCCTCCCCATCCCAGGCCGTGGATCCCTCTCCTCACTCTCTCTCGGAAAACTTGGGGGGGTTTTAATTCTAAAAAGAGTTAATTACATTAATAGGTTAATTAAGACACCAGCCTGGTGCCTGCCTGGGACCCTTCCCAAAAACACCCATTGGAATGGTGAGAGGAGGAGGGAAAAGAAGAAAAATTGAATGGAAAACGTGGTGAAATATGGAGAAATATGGGAAATAATGGAAAAATGTGTGAAAACGCAGGGAAATGGGGGAAGCGTGTGAAAACATGGGGAAGTGTGGTAAAAATATGGAAAATGTGTGGAAATGTGGGGAAATGGGTAAAAATATGGTAAAATATGGGAAAATGGGTGAAAATATGGAAAAACATGGGAAAACGTGTGGAAATGTGGGAAAATGGGAAAAAATGGGAAAAAACATGGGAAAATAGAGGGAAATGTGGAAAAATATGGAAAACATGGGACATGTCTAGAAATGTGGGAAAATAGAGAGAAAATGAGGAAAAAATATGGAAAAATGTGTGAAAACCCAGGGGAATGTGGGAAGTGTGCAAAAACATGGGGAAGTGTGAGGAAGCGTGGAAAAAAGATGGAAAAACATGGGGAAACGTGGGAAAATGTGGGAAAAATATGGAAAAACATGGGAAATGTGGGAAAATGTGGGAAAAATATGGAAAAACATGGGAAATGTGGGAAAATAGAGGGGAAAATGCGGGGAAGAGTAAAAACATGGAGTAACACGGGGAAACGTAGGGGGGAAAAAAGGGAAAATACAGGGAAAATATGTGACAACACGTGGGCAAACGTGTCCCCGCTGTGCCCTGGGCACGGGCTGGCCCCATCCCGGTGACAGCCACGCGTGGGGGTGGCTCTGTCCCCGCGGGGCTCCCGGCGTGTGCCGCGCTCTCTCGGCGCTCCCAATCCCCTCCCTCCTCATCCTCCCCATCCTCCCCTTCCTTTCCCTTCCCCTCCTCGGGGCGTCACCGCCCCACGCGCGTGTCCTCGCCCTCCCCCGCCCCCGCGGGTGGGCGTGGGGGGAACTCGGGGGGCCCCGGGGCCGGGCGGGGATGCTCGGAGAGGGGGGTTCGGGGATGAGCGGCCCCCGATGGGATGTAGCGGGCGGCTGCTGGGACCCGCCGGGGGCCGCCGCGCCTCGCTGCTCCTCACCATGATCCTGTTCTTCACCTACTTCTTCTCCTGCCTGCCCGGGCCCTGCGAGCCGCTGCCGCCCGCGCTGCTGCTGCCACCGCCCGCCGCGCTGCCCCTGGGGCCGGGGGAAGCGGCGGGGGGCTCGGGGGGTTCCGGGGGTTCGGGGGGTTCAGGAAGCCGCCGCTTCCCCCAAGCCATCATCGTGGGCGTGAAGAAGGGCGGGACGCGAGCGCTGCTCGAGTTCCTGCGGGCGCACCCCGGGGTGCGGGCGGTGGGTGCTGAACCCCATTTCTTCGACAGGTGCTACGAGAAGGGGCTGCGCTGGTACAGGTAAGGAGGAGCGGGGGGTGGGGGGAGTCGGTAATTAGCGCGGAGATGTGTTAATTGATGCCCGGGTTGGGATGTGGCGGCTCCGCAACAGGCGGGTCCCGGGAGAGAAATGGGGGTCGAGTTCCCTTCCCCCGCTGGGGAGGGTGGGGGTCCCGGCAGCTGCGACCCTCGCCTGGGCTGGGGAAGGGGCTGGCGCTGCTTTTGCGGGGTTGCTGTTGGAAGTCGGGAGCGCTGAGAGTCTCCTTGTCCCCGTGTCGCCGTTTTCTCCCTGTCCCCTTGTCCCTTTTGTCCCGTGTCCCCCCGTTCCCCTTGTCCCCGTGTCGCCGTTTTCTCCCTGTTCCCGCTTTCCTCCCTGTCCCCGCGTCCCCTCTGTCCCCGCTCCTCCCATCCCGCATCCCACCCGGCCAGGGATGAAGCCGGCAGCAAAAACCGAGTTCGTTTTAACTCCCCAGCTTTGCGATTTTAACCTTTAGCGCTTTATCCCCAGCCGTGCCCCCGTTTCCCCACCGGGTTCCTTTAGGAATTGTTTTATTCGTATGGTTTAGGGAAAAAAAAAAAAAAAAAAAAAAAAGAGTGAGGACCTCGGGCTTGGTCCTGGCTGTGTTCGGGGAACGGACGAGGGGTGAATCCGTGGGATGCTCGGTGGGTTTGTGGCAAAGGGCGAAGCTGGAGCGATCCGAGGGGGTTTGTTGGTTTGTTTTTTGAGCGTTTCGATGGGATTGAACTCTTCAGGCGATAAAGCATTCGGAAGAGCAGCTACTGTGCATGTGGAGTGTATTAAACTCGCGTCTCCCGGCCAGCTCCAGAGCGGCTGGGCCAAGCGGAGTCGGGAGCGATAAGTCCCCTTGAAGCCGGGGATGGAATCTGCTCCGTTATTTTGAAGGCAATCCAAACGTGTGGATGTATGAAAGCGCCGTGGTGTTCTCGGGGAAACATCTGAAAATAATCAGAGGAGAAGCTCTCTGTCCTTCCTGCCTCTCCGTGCCCTTCTCCCCGAGCCCCGCGGGAATAACCGCATTTCTTCCTCGGTGTTTTTTGGGGGGAGGCTGCAGCTTCCCAATCCTCGCTAAAGTAACAACCTGTGAAAAATCAGCGTGTTTAATGGAAAGAGTAATTTTAGTGGTAATTTTACCCGCAGAGTTTCAGCTCTCTGAGCCCACATCTGGGCTGTAAAGTTACGACTTAACACACACCTTCAAAACCCAGTAAGTAGCGACGCTTATTTTTATGGCTGCATTAATATCGCCGTGATTTATGAGCTCATTCCTCAGCTCCGCTCGGGTCCGCGCTGCTCGAGGAGCAATAATGATGATCACTAATCTTTTTTTTTTTTTTTTTTTTTTTTTTTTTTTTTGGGGGGGGGGGGGGAGGGTGGTGAGGACTGCGAGACGGCTCTCGCTTGGCAGAATGGGAGTTTAATGACTGCGAGCACGTAATTAAAGCGGGGAAGATCGAACGCTTTCATATCGCTCGGCGGAGCCCAGCGAGGCGCTCGCAGGACGGACCCGCAGAGAGAAGGAGAAATAAATCTTGTTTTGGAAGAGATAAATCTTATTTGGGATGGCTCTGCTGCGATTTTGGAGTGCGGGAAGTGCTCGCAGGGAGCCTGGCCTGACACCAGGTTGGGGATGATCCCGCATGTGGTTGTGGTAAATTTGGAGAAACGGAGCGGGGAAGGTTTTTGGGGAGGATCCGCATCCTTTGGGGTGAGGCAAAATTCAGGAGATGTTTTGCTTTAACTCTGTATAAAGTGTGGTTTTAATCACACACACACAAAAAACTCTTTCCCTTCGCTTCCTCTCCTCTCTGCCTCTTGTTTTGTCTTCTCACAAGACCTCGAAGTGCCGAGGGATTTTATCGCCGGGAAAGCCAGACAGAGCTAAATGTTTAAAGCTGGGATGTGCTGGAGCAGAGGCAAAGAGAAGCTGGACAGAAAATCAGGTTTTTCCTATGGATATCTCAAAAGTGGTGTAAACATTTTTTAAATATTTGAACTTGCTAGGAAACTGAAATTACACCAACTGCTCCTCACGCCAAGATATTTGGCCCGAAGGCACCTGTAGGTTGTTGCTTGTCTTGAGTAAATGTGGAAAAAAAAAAATTCCCTTGGAAATATCACTCCAGAATTATTTTGTTCTTTCTTAATAGCTCTGTCCTGTAGTGATTTCCCTGCTCTGGCAGGAGCATCTCCTCATGGGTGATAAGTAGTTTGCTCTAAGTTACTGACTGAAATAATTTATTCTTACTGGATTGTTTTATTTCATTTAAATTTGAAATGGCCCAAAGCCTCCTTTTTTTTTTTTTTGAGCAGTAGTGAAATGTTCTGCAAAAGCATCTCCTACAGAATTCCTTGAGTTACTACAGCTTTAGCTAATTCTAAGAAGATTAAACACCTTTTTGAGGCTGCAGCATAAATGATTTAATGGCTAATGCAAGCGTGATGGGATGTTTTCTCCTCCAGCAAAACACGATTTTAATTTTTTTGGCCCTCAGTGCTGCTTGAAGGAAACCTAAATAAAAAGGTGATGCTGACGTGTCTGCTGCTGGTTTGGGGTGTGGGGGAGTCCCCTTTGGGAGCCTGGGACTGTAGGGAAATTCCCATTTTGTGGGAATATAGGTGAGGATAAATGTTAAAAACCGAACTGAGTCCGAGTTGTTTGGGGTGATATTGAGAAATCCATTGCAGAACTTGAGGAATCTGGGGGGGATGTGGGGCCAGGCCCTGCCTTTGCCTGTGGGGATTGAGGAAAAAAAAACATTTGTGGGGTGAAGGGGTTTAAGGTCTGGAACCCCCTCGGTGTGAGGGGAGCGGGTTTGGGCTCGCCAGTGACATTTGGGACGTGTTCACCCCTGGTGTGGTGGGGCTGGGGCTCTCCAGTGCCACTGCTCTGCTCCCCTGGGGACGTTTTGGGGGCGTAGCAGCATCTTTGTGTGGGTTTGTTCCCTTTTTGGATGCCAGAGCTCGGCACAGCCTCGGGGATTTTGGGGCTGTGGGGAACGGGACAGGGAACAGCAGCTTTGGGGAGGAATGGCAGTGCTGGGAGAGGGGCCTGGGCTGCAGGAAAGGGAATTCACCTTTGAGGGAATCGTGTGGAAAGCTCTGAGCCTGCCACAGCTCACCCCAAAAAATCTCCTCATCCCCATCTGCCAAAACTTTGCGGCAAGGGCGGCTCCGTGTGAATCGGCTTTTCCTCTGTCTCGTGTTTCCTTGTGTGATCTGGGATCCCTGTCCCTCTTTTCCTCTTTTCCATCCTGTCTTCCTGCTTTTTCCAAGAGCCAAAGGAGGATTTAGGCAGGAATGGTGCTGGGCCAAGGCTCCCTCCACCCTTCCCATCCCTTGGGATTGAGCCCTGGAAGCTGCACACGCCGGATTTGTGGGAATTGTAAAGAATTCCCTATTTTCACACGGTTTGGACCCAGAAGTAGTAAAAAGTACTATGGGATGTCTAGTGATTGTCCAGGCTGGAGCTCTGAAGATAAAAGGACACGAGGAGCTGGGATCCCCACCGAGCATCCTCTGGCCCTGCAGAGCCAGCCCAGAGCTCCGACACTCTCAGAGGCCAAATTTAACTTTTCGTTGTCATTTTTCTGCCCCATCCAACGCGAAAATTGGCACGGGGGGAGGGAGGAAAAACTCTCCGTGAGGGTTCCTCATCCCTCTGTGCCCCTTCTGGTGTATCCCAGCTCGGCAGCACCTCCGGGAAGGTGCAGAGGGAGAACAGAACTCCCTGATTGTGGCGTTTTTTTCCCCCCCTCCCTTTCCCCAACCCCATTCACAGGAGCTAATAACGCTCTTGAAAGGCATCCAGGATTTCTTGAGCCAGACTTTGTTATGTCGGAACCTCGCAACCCCGATGCCTTTGAGCGACAGGGGAAGGACGCGGCTGCGGCGCTGCTCTTTTGACTTTTGCCGGGAGTTTTATTGGCAGCTGAAAAGTGGAGCTGAGTCGGTGCCTCGAGGGTTTTTTGTTTTTTTTTTTTTTTTTTTGTGTGCGCCGTGATTGTACAGACACATCGAGACACTCTATAGCGCGGGCTGCTGAATAAAATCAGCTCCTCCCGAGCCACCAGGCTGCGTTTTTGGCACCGTTCTGGTGTCCCCTTGCAGCGCCAGCTTTTCACAGGGAAGCTCCAAGGTGGGAAGAGGCGAAGGAATGTGGCCGGAGCGGGATGGATGCACGGAGCTGCTCCGGGACATGATCTTTAATTCATTGGCCCCGCTAATCTCTCCTCCTGATGGGCTCCATTTCAGCGCTGCCGCCTCAGAGCAGCCCTTGTTTTCCCGGGGCATTCGCAGACGCTCAGCCCTGTAACTTCTCGCCTTTATTACTTTGCAATCTTTTCTCTTTTTTTTTTCTTTTTTTTTTTTTTTTCCACTTCCATTCATAAGTGAGACCTTTCTGTCTCACCATCCCGGATCCTCACCCCCCCTCTTTGGGAAATGAAACCTCAAGTACAAAGAAAACATGCGAGAAACCTGAGAAAAATCTGATTTTAACTGAGAATAAGATACTGTAAAGCTTTTATTTAGGCGTAGTGTTTTGCATTGGCTTTTATGCAGTGTTTTAAACCCAGCCCTATTCTTAGGATCAGGTTTAAGCGCTGGGTGCTCCCGTGGCAGCCGGATGGATTTCCCTGATGTTGTGCCCCTGTTTTCTGCTCCCTAACACACACCCAGCTCTGCCCGGCCTTGGGAAGCAATCCATAATTCGTGCAAAGTTTGGTTTTCTGCAAACTGCTTTCACGTGGGATTAAAAATAGCTTTTACTGCCACGATGAGGAATTAACATTTGAAACCATTTAAAGGGCTCCCAGACAGGGATTGCTGCGGCTGGGCAGAGACAGGAGCTGTGCCTGTCCTGTTTTGGGGGGTCAGTGATGGGGTGAGGAGCACAGCTCAACCCTCCTGCCCCTCATTTCCACCCTCTTATTCCTTAATTTCCACACGGCCGCGTTTTCTTCCCGATCCCATCAAGAGCTTCTTGCTGACCCAAGCAGGT